GAGATCATGTGGTATTTGTCTTTCTATGCCTGGCTTATTTTAGTCAACATGTTGTCCTCCAGGTTCATCCATGTTACCACAAATGACAGAATTTCTGAAAAGCAAGAAGTTAATATCAATAATATAAAAGAAACTCTAATAGCTTGGTAGCAAAAAAGCAAACAGTCAGATTTTAAAATGGACAAAGGACTGAAATAGACATTTCTTAAAAGAAATACAAATGGCCAGCAGGTATATGAAAAAATGCTCAATATCACTAATTGTCAGGGAAATGCAAATCAAACCCACAATGAGATATAACACAATAGACCAAAACCTCTGGGATACAGAATAAGCAGTGTTAAGAGGGAAGTTTAGAGCATTAAATGCCTACATCAAAAAAGAAAGATTACAAATTAATAACCTAGTGTTGTACCTCAAGGAACTACAAAAACAAGAACAAACCAAACCCAAAGGTAGCAGAAGATAGGAAATAACAAAAATCAGAGCAAAACTAAATGAAACAGAGACAAACAAACAGAGACAAAAAAATTTACAAAGCTTTGTTTCTGAAAATGAAAATTTGTTCTTTGAAAACATAAACAAAACTGATATATGGCTAGCTAGACTAACCAAGAAAAGAAAAGGTCCAAATAAACAAAAAATGAGGAAAGCAAAGGAAACGTCAAAACTGACACCACAAAAATTTAAAAGATCATCAGAGACTATCATGAACAGCTATTCACTCACAAACTAGAAAGCTTAAAAGAAATGGATAAATGCCTGGAAACCTACAACCTCCCAAGACTGAACAAGGAAAAGATAGAAATGCTGAACAGGTCAATAGTGGGTAGTGAGATTGAATCAGTAATTTAAAAATTCCCAATCATAAAACCTTAGACCAGATGAATTCGTAGGTAAATTCTACCAAATGTACAATGAAGAACTGGTACTAAGCTCCCTGAAAGTGTTCCAAAAAAATCAAGGAGGAGGAAATTCTCCCTAACTTATTCTATGGAGCCCGTATCGCCCTTATATGAACATTAGACAGGACATAACAACAATGAAAGAAAACTATAGACTAATATCCTTGATGAATGTAGACATAAAAATCCTCAAGAAAATACTAGAAAACAAATTTCAACAGCACATCAAAAGATAATACACCATGATCAAATGGGTTTTATTCCGGGTAAGTAAGGATGGCTTAACATATGCAAATTAATAAATGTGATTCATCCCATAAATAAAATTAAGGACAAAAACCATATGACAATCTCAATAGATGCAGAAAAAGCATTTGATAAAATCTAGTATCTGTTCATAATAAAAACCCTCAACAGTCTACGTGTTGAAGGAACATACCTCAAAATAATAAAGGCTATATATGACAAATATACAGCCTATGTTACACTAAGTGGGGAAAGTTGAAAGCATTCCCTGTAAGAACTGGAGTAACACAAGAATGCCTACTTTTAATTCAAGGTGGATTAGAGACTTAAATGTTAGACCTAATACCATAAAAACCCTAGAGGAAAACCTAGGTAGTACCATTCAGGACATAGGCATGGGCAAAGACTTCATGTCTAAAACACCAAAAGCAACGGCAGCAAAAGCCAAAATTGACAAATGGGATCTCATTAAACTAAAGAGCTTCTGCACAGCAAAAGAAACTACCATCAGAGTGAACAGGCAACCTACAGAATGGGAGAAAATTTTTGCTATCTACTCATCTGACAAAGGGCTAATATCCAGAACCTACAAAGAACTCAAACAAATTTACAAGAAAAAAACAAACAACCTCATCAAAAAGTGGGCAAAGGATATGAACAGACAGTTCTCAAAAGAAGACATTCATACAGCCAACAGACACATGAAAAAATGCTCATCATCACTGGCCATCAGAGAAATGCAAATCAAAACCACAATGAGATACCATCTCACACCAGTTAGAATGGCGATCATTAAAAAGTCAGGAAACAACAGGTGCTGGAGAGGATGTGGAGAAATAGGAACACTTTTACACTGTTAGTGGGATTGTAAACTAGTTCAACCATTATGGAAAACAGTATGGCGATTCCTCAAGGATCTAGAACTAGATGTACCATATGATCCAGCCATCCCATTACTGGGTATATACCCAAAGGATTATAAATCATGCTGCTATAAAGACACATGCACACGTATGTTTATTGTGGCACTATTCACAATAGCAAAGACTTGGAATCAACCCAAATGTCCATCAGTGACAGACTGGATAAAGAAAATGTGGCACATATACACCATGGAATACTATGCAGCCATAAAAAAGGATGAGTTTGTGTCTTTTGTAGGGACATGGATGCAGCTGGAAACCATCATTCTTAGCAAACTATCACAAGAACAGAAAACCAAACACCGCATGTTCTCACTCATAGGTGGGAACTGAACAATGAGATCACTTGGACTCGGGAAGGGGAACATCACACACCAGGGCCTATCATGGGGAGGGGGGAGAGGGGAGGGATTGCATTGGGAGTTATACCTGATGTAAATGATGAGTTGATGGGTGCTGACGAGTTGATGGGTGCAGCACAGCAACATGGCACAAGTATACATATGTAACAAACCTGCACGTTGTGCACATGTACCCTAGAACTTAAAGTATAATAAAAAAAAAAATTACTACTCTCATTCAATATAGTACCAGAAGTCCTAGCCAGAGAAATTTGGCAAGAGAAAGAATTAAAAGGCATCCAAACTGGAAAAGAAGTCATATTATTCCTGTTTACTGATCATATGATCTTATACCTAGAAAACACTACAGACTCCACCAAAAAACTGTTAGATTTGATAACTGAATTCAGTAAAGTTTCGGGACACAAAATCAACATACAAAAAAAAATCAGTGGCATTTCTATACACCAATAACAATCAAGCTGAGAACCAAATCAAGAAGGATCTCATTTACAATAACTATAAAAAAATTACCTAGGAATATATTTAACCAAGGAGGTGAAAGACCTCTCCAAGAAAAACTACAAGGCACTGATGAAAGAATTTGTAGGTAACACAAACAAATGGAAAAACAGCCTATGCTCATGGGGACTGTAATTAATAACAATGTATTGTGTTCTTAAAAATTGCTAAGAGAGTAGATTTAACTATTCTCACCATAAATGATGTTAAGTTTGTGAGGTGATGCATAGGTTAATCAGTTTGATTTAGTCATTCCATAATATATAAATGTTTTAAAATATTGTATACATAATTAGTAAATATAACTTTTTTGTCAGTTATATAAATAAATATAAATAAAACAAACAAATCATAAAACACATATTCCACCTAGTCACAACTTAGTTACAAATATGCACATTACAGTTTTTCAAGACTCTTATTATAGTGTACCACAAGTACACAAAGTACAGCAAATGTTTATTACTGCTTATGTTCATGACAATTTTATTTACACTGTCAATTACTTAGCAGTAAATATTAAACAATAATCTACTAGCCACCGCGGTTGGCCGAGGAATGGTTTTTAAAAAGAGTATACTTGGCTAAATTATACATGGCACATTCTTGTACTGAATACAATAGAGAGGCATTAAAAATGCCTGCAAATGTCTGTATTTTTGGTATAAGTCCAACATTAATTTGCTAAATGAAAAAGGTACATTTTGGAAGAGTAAGGTAATCCAACTATAAAAATATGTTACCTGCACACACATATACAGTATGCAGTTGTGTTAGTCAAGATTCTCCAGAGAAACAGAACAGGACAAATGTATACATGAAGGGGAATTATTAGGGAGAACTGACTCACACAATCACAAGGTGAAGCCCCATGATAGGCCGTCTGCAAACTGAGGAAGAAGGAAGCCAGTGGTGGCTCAGTCCAACTCCAAAAGCCTCAAAAGCAGGGGCGCCAACAGTGCAGCCTTCAGTCTGTGGCAAAGGCCCGAGAGTCCCTGGCAAACCATTTGTGTAAGTCCAGGAGTCCAAGACCCGAAGAACCTGGAGTCTGATGTCCAAGGAAAGGAGGAACAGAGAGAAGCATCCAGCGTGGGAGAAAGATGAAAGCCAGAAGACTCAGCAAGCCAGCGTATCCCTCCTTCTTCCACCTGCTTTGTTCTAGCTGTGCTGATAGCTGATTGGATGGTGCCAATCCACATTGAGAGTGGGTCTTCCTCTCCCAATCCACTGACTCAAAATGTCCTCTGGCAACACCCTCACAAACACACCCAGAAACAATACTTACCAGCTATCTAGGTGATCCTTCAATCCAATCAAGTTGACACCCAGTATTAACCATCACAATATATAGCAATCTATAAAATGATATTAGTGAATATCTCTATGGAAAAAGTGGGTGATTTTTATACAGATTTTATTTCTATGATATTATCTAAGATGGGATAGTTGAGGAATTTCAAGAATAGAGAGAACGTTGACTGTGTCAGATGCTGCTGATGTGTCATATAAGATGTAGACTGATCATTGGCCATTGAATTATCAGTGTGGAGATCCCTGTGACCCGCAATGTCAATGGCATAGGAACAAAGTCTGACTGGAGTGAGATCAAGAAAAATAGGGAGAAAGACATTGAATCCTGAATGTATATACGACTCTTTGAAACATGTCACTGTCATGAAGAGAGAGAGAGAGAGAGAGAAAGAGAGAGAGAGAGAGATAGAGAGAGAATGAGAGAATGAGAATGAACTATCCATAGTACATCCCTTTCCAAATGCCTATCTACGACTGTAGACTAGTAGTGAATTATAAAGGTGAACTGGTTTATTCCTTAGACTCTGAATGAGAAAATACACTGAGACACAAAGAAATCGATCCCTTATTATGGATCAGAGACCTTGAAACCCATAAGCCAAAATTTCCCCAGTGGATTTGTTCCTGAAACATGGACTCATTGAGATATTTATCTAGTCTCAGCTGTCTCTTACTTAGTAAGGCTGCTAAAGTTCACCTCATGTATGGCTAGAAAAGTTCAGAAAACAGTAGTCTGGTTTTTATTCCTAAAGTCATTTCACTTTTGGAAATAAGACATGAGTTACCTGGTCCCAGATATGTTTGGTCTTGATTCCATAGATGATGGGATTCAGCATGGGAGGAACCAGGATGCAGACATTAGCCAGCAGGACGTGGATATGGGGTGAGATGTGGCGTCCAAACCGCTGAGTGAGGACTGAGAAGATCCCAGGCCCATAAAACAGGATGATGACACAGACGTGGGAGCCACAAGTATTGAGAGCCTTGTGGCGAGCATCTTGGGATGGAATGTGGAAGACAGCGCGGAGAATAAGCGTATATGAAATAAAAATTAGCATAACATCTAAAATCACTGTTGACATTAAGACAAAAAACCCATACCAGATGTTTATTCGAATGTCATCACAGGAAAATTTGGCCAAGACAATGTGTTCACAACTACTGTGTGGAAGCATGTTACTTCTGCAATAAGTCAGTCTTTTCAGAAGAAATATTATGGGGAATATTGTGCCATAACTTCTTAGTAAGATAGTCACTCCGATTTTTCCAATAGAGGAGTTTGTAAGAATTGTGGTGTACTTCAGTGGGTAGCATATGGCAATGTAGCGGTCAAAGGCCATCACCAGCAAGATCCCTGACTCAGAGATGAAGGTGGAATGGATAAAGAAGAGCTGAGTGATGCAACGATCCAAGGAGATGTCCCCAGCACAGAACCAGAAGATGGACAAAGCCTGTGGTACTGTGCATGTGGAGAGGACAATGTCTGCTCCGGCCAGCATGCAGAGGAAGAGATACATGGGTTCATGGAGGCTGCGCTTTGTGAGGATAATGAAGATGAGCAGGCTGTTCCCAAGAAGGGCGGTGACATAGGAAAGGAAGAAGGGGATGGAAATCCACATGTGCTGGTCCTCTAGGCCGGGGATGCCCAGCAAGCGGAAGACTGTGTGGCTAACACCAGTGTGATTTAATATGTGCGCCATACCTGAAGCAGATAACCTGGGACCTCACTTCTTGTTTATAGGAAGGGTTGAAATTTCATATCGTACTCAAATTTTTTTTTTTGATGTCACCACAGGCTTATGACATCAGCCTGATTCTTTTCAATAGTTAGTGTCCTGGGAACTATATAGGATGAAAAGATAAATAACATATTGTGTGTTTCTTCAATAAGGTAACAACTTATAGCCAAGATCGAAATTTACACTGTAAATTAAAATAATATGCTAAGTGAACATAGGAGTAGCACAAAAAACTGCTATGGGAACACAAATGGAGATAGTAATTTGGTCTATTTGGCTGCAGGATGTCATTGGGTGGAGGCGAACTAGGTGGGGAATCAGGTGTGGGGTAAAGTCATTTGGGAGTTTAAGGAAAGACTGTTGTCATACAAATATCTAATGTATTTAAACCAGTTTGTAGTTCTATGTAGTTGTGTGATCACATGCAATATACTATGCAATGGTAGGAAGATAAAAACAAAAGTACATTGGCTCTGATTATAAATTGAGGAGCTTTGGTGCTGTCTCATGAGGAAATGGTCAGCCACCATGCACCATGTGCTGATCATTTTTCTTTTTTTTGAGACAGTGTCTCCTTCTGTTTCCCAAGCTATGCAGTGACATGATCATAGCTCACTGCAGGCTCCAACTCCTGGGCTCGAGTGATTTTTCCACCTCAGCCTCCTGAGTAGCTGGGGCTACTGTCATGAGCCACCAAGCCCAGCTAATTCTTTTAATTATTATTTTTTAAGATATAGGGTCTTTCCATATTGCCCAGGTTTTGAATTCCTGGCCTCAAACGATCCTTCCATCTCAATCTCCCAAAGCACTGTGATTATAGGCATGAGCCACTGCACCCAGTACCACCATGGGCTTTTAAATGGAAGAGCCTTAGGTGTATTTATCTAGAAGTGGTTGGAGAAAGGATTAGAAGAGAGAAGTAATCTAAAAGTAAAGTAGAGTGTTTTCTGTAATAGAAGAAAATAATGTATTGATATAAAATTTTTACAGTGAAATAGGATGAATAAAATAACTTTGAAGATTACCTATTTTATGTCAGGTACTAATTTTAAAACATTATTTATGGTACCTCATTTATTACTTGTAACAACCCAGGGAAGTAGATTTTATCATCTCCAAATTTTCAGAGAGCCACTTAACTTGGCATAGCTAGTGAGGAATAGAGCTTGGATTTGAAGTTGGAATTGTAGAATGCATCATTTTCTGATCTGTGAAATGGGGCAAGAGGCAAGCGACCATAATGAATTGAGGAAAACTGACAAGGCCTGCTGTTTGGGGGTAAGAGGTAGTCGGGGAGAGCCCCTGAGCAGGCTGCCATGCCCTCTATGTAAACAAAATGCCATAAGGGTTTGAAATTGTTTATAATTGAAATTTCAACAGTTGTTGATATTTTGATACCTTTGATATGTCTCTTTAGTCACCAGTAGTGAAAGCCTTCTGGTGAAGCCATAAAAAAATAGTGTACCCAGGAAAATTGAAGGCTGAAAAATTGAGAAAAGAACCTCCTTTCCAAAGTACTGCAAAAAAGAGGGGCTCAGGTGCTGACAAAGAGGGGCAAGTGGACCCGTCCCAAATAACCCATGGGGAAAAATAAGTCAAGCTCACTCAGAATGAGATAACCTAGAATAACCCAGGTGGTTAAGTAGCCAAAAGGCTCATTAAACCCATGGAGAGGCAACTAACACTATATATGAAAGAAATGCTCTTTCACTCTCAAGGCCAAACTCTAGGTTAGTGGTTTTCAGAGGGTGGTGATTTTGTTCCCCAAAGGATATTTATCAATGCCTGGAGACATTTTGGTTCTTATAATTGGGGAGTGATTGCTACCGGCATTTAATGGGTAGAGGCCAGGGATGCTGCTAAATAGTACAGCTCCCACAATCAAGGATCATCAGGCCCCAAATGTCTATTGTGCCACAGTTGAGAAATTTTACTCTGGGTCCTGCTTTCTTCCACACCCTCCTGGGCTTGGTGTTAAGCTCAACATTCCATTTCCCATTCTTAGGAGATGAACTTGGTATAGAACTCAGGTAATGAGAAATTTAGAGTTAATGAGAAGTTCAGGGGTCCAAGGGATGAAGCAGCGCAGATAAACATCTACTAGCTGATGTTTATTCAGTCAGCGCCTAACTCAGGACCTGGTGTATGGCAGGTAAGCATAATCATTAATTCCTTCCCTGACAGGTTCATTTCTCTGTTTTTTTTTTTTTTTTTTCTTTCTCAACTTCTGTTTTTGAAGTAGGAAATGCATCCACCTCTATCTGTCCCTCTGAGTAATGGCTAAAACTGTCTTGACAATAAAGTCACATGGCAGGAGAGCCAGGAGAGGGTTGTGCTGGGACATAGGTTTTTGAATGGGGACCAGTTGCTCAAAAGTGTGGATAAATCCTGCTGTGCACATCAACTCCCACAAGGTCAGCCTATGGCCACACAAACACTGTGAGACTAGATGCTGCTCTGAGGAAAGCTATCATTCTGGAGGAGGTGGAAGAAATTACATAGGTATGAAAATGACAGAGGGGGCTAAAGGTCAACTAGACATACCACATCCCTGAAAAGAAATACAGGAAAAGGAGATGCAGATAAAGAAAACATAAATTTTAAGTAAATAAAAAGAGCTGGAAGAGGACTAGCTCCCAGATGTTGATGGATGATGAGTGCTTTATGGATAACAAAGAGGAATTTTCTTTTGGGCAGCAGATAGGAGAAGCCAGGGAGCTCATAGTTCGGGGACTGCTTTATGGGAGAAACAGAAGTCCTAATGTTCTCAGACACCTACCTTAGGCCCCATAACCCTCTTGTCTGGTTGGGATACTCTCTATTTTCATTCTCTCCTACCCAAAATTTCACCCCGCATCAATGAATAACTTACCTGGTTTAAATGCAGTTTTCATAGCGTAGAAAAAAAATGTGTCAAAGAGGACTCTGAGCATTGGAGGGAGCAGAGATTTTTATGCATTTGCCTGGAGACCCCAGGGGAGGAAAACACTCCAGAGAACTCAGATTTAGAGCTGTATTTTCAACAACACCCCCGTATTGCATACACGAGTTGAATGATTCTAGTTCTCTCAGCCTGCCCATACTGCCTGCTCTGCAACTACATCCTTGGATTAGATGTGCACATGTATTATCTGCAATAAATACAATGTTATTGTCACTTCATCAAATATTAGTTTCCATTTTAATGAGAATTAGTAAATATTAATCCTGTTTGAAATCAGCACAAATAAAACGTGTCCAATGTACAGGTTATTTTTAAACCACTTATTCGCACAAGGCTTGCTTTGTAATTTAGACAAATTTAAAATGAAAATTGTATTATATTTGTCATATCATTTTATATTCTGGAAACTGAAATAACGAATTTTGGTGGCTAATGTCAGAAAATTTTAATGTCTCGAATGAACTTGCATAAGTCAGGTTATGAAGGAGAAATAATATCCACATTCCTCTCCTTTGGCTATCAGCAAATGTACAATTAATGCTGTTATCACATTTCCCAATATATTTTTCTGGTAACATATATCTAAACTTTAAAATATTCTCTGTGTTTTGTCTTTATTAAATTAGCCCAAGTAAGTGATATGTATTACATGTATTTGTAAAGAAGAAATAGCTTTGTGTGTGTATGTGTGTATGATGAATTCATAGATTTTTATTTAAAATGCTGGGTTGAGCTTACCAGAAAGACTTCATCCCTTCCTTACTTATAGACATTCTTGATAAAATATTATTTTCCATTAAATGTTTATTTTGCAAATATTAAAACAGAAAAGCTACAAAATTACTACCATGAATTTCAGTAAAACTCTGGTGTTGATTCAGTCACATTTGGCCACATTCTCTTCCTGTTATTATTCAAATTTTTTCTGTACCATTTGAGTAAAATATGAAAGATCGGGGCCCTATTTTTTTAACTTTTAAAAAAATTTTCTTAGGCCTACAGATGGAGAGCCTTTATTTTTAAATGCTTAGCATATAACTTCTAAGAACAAGGACAATCTTTTACATACAGCGGTGCAATTATCAAATTCAGGGTATTTAGTATTGATATGATCTATAATTCAATGTACAGTACATATTCAAAATTCTCTGATTGTACCTATATTCTTTTTCATAGCACCTATTTTCTTTTTTCAGTTCAGGACCACATATTGTAAGTTGCCATATATTGCTCTCCTTTAATCTGAAACAGTGTTCAATCTTTACTATCTTTCATGATACAGGCGCTTTTAAAGAAGAACATAGGTCCATGCTTTGTATAATGTTCCTCAATTTGGATGTATTACTGGTTGTTAGATTCTGGTTATACATTTTTGGCCAGAGGGACTACATAAGTGATACTGTGTCTTTTGTATCATATCAGCAGGTACCTGATAACAGTTCTTGTACCATTACTGATGATGTAATCATTGATCAATTAATTACAGCAGGTTCACCAGATTTCTCCACTGTAAATATATGTCCCCCACCCTTGTCATCAGTGAAATAATCTAGGGGGAGTTACTTTGACTGTAGAATGTGCGGTTCCCCAACAAACCTTCATCTAGAGGTTTTACCATTCACTGATTCTTACATGAATCAAATTTATTTTGATGGTTGCAGAATAGTAGTTCTCTAACTTAGTCTTTCCCATTACATTTATTAGTTGGCATTCTACTGTAATTAAGAGGCTTCCTGTTTCCTTTTAGTTTGTTTAGTATTAGCAAGGAATCATGGATTCTTTCTTAATTCAGTAATTTATGTAATCTAGTGTTTTCATTATTTACTTTGATAGTCAAACTCTTCCAGGTTTGACTAGGAAAAGCCATATCAAACTTGCTCTTTTTTATTTTTTATTTATTTATTTTTTATTATACTTTAAGTTCTAGGGTACATGTGCACAACGTGCAGGTTTGTTACATATGTATACCTGTGCCATGTTGGTGTGCTGCACCTATTAACTCGTTATTCACATTAGA